GAGTCATGACCTTGTGTCCCCCTGCTTAGGTAGGTTCTGGTTGTAATGTATTTGGCTAAATAAGCAGTGTTCTATAGACCCTTGGTCTGGTGATCGATAATGTGTGCTAGCAAGCCCCTGATGTGTCTGTCAAATGGACAATGTTGGTAGGGGCTGTAAGAAAGACTACCAGGTGATCAGGCATGGTCAACCAAACTAGTGGGAGGTCAACCTATCAGGCTCTCTTAGAGTATATCTACACGAGTGCAGACTGATTGTCCAGCAGAGAGTGTTGTACTGTTCTGGTTGTAATGTGTCCTGAGGGATCATGTGGGTATTGCAAAACAAACTGATAAATACATATCAAGGAAAAGCAATTTATTATCAATGTATCTATATCACATAATTCAATCAACAAATTATATTACTTTTGAATCTCACTTATATTATCAAATGTGTATGAATGCTGGTTCCTGTTATCAAAATTTCAGTAGAAACAATTACTAAGTGCATGTACTTAGAAAATGATATTTAAAAAATATCCCAAATGCATCCTGTGTATGTGTGGCACCCAAAGAACTAGTAACCATAACAAGTGACACTGCATATGTACTATGCAGTGTAAAACTAACAAATTAGAACGCCAATACAATGCAACAGAATCAATTTGGGTTACAGATGCTTCTGGAGTAGACAAAAAGTTTAGAGCTTTTCCATGTCAGTTTACATGTTTTGTGGTCTTCAAACGATAGTTTTCCAAAAATGTTATCACTCATTTCTTCTCTCAGCAATGGTTTCCATGTGAAAGTATTTTGTAATATTTCTTCAAAATTAGCTCAGTGACATGAGATGAAGATCTGACATTGTTATCCCATCTTCAGATTTTCTAAAATATTACCATTTAATTTCATTAAAGTTCTGAAGAGATAATATTAAATCATGATATGTGAATGTGAATTACTCTTGCACAAAGCGAGTACTGCAAATTTAAGTAGATATAAAACTTAAATTTGGCTTAAATTCAAATGGTTGCTCTGTCTGGTTCTTATATGGGGCAGCTACTGCAAATTATATATACTGTTATGTACATGCATGATTGATTTTGAACAGCATACAAAGGCATGTTATTCGATCTATGTGATATTAAGTACAATAAAACAAATTTTCGAGATAAATTTTCGCAGGTTAGTGAACATTTCTCTCAGGTTCCTACAACATGGAGTCTTAGTCACATTTGGGGAATTTTGCCTTCATGGGTCCCATATGATCTTGAAATCGTGGGAATTTCTAGCAGTGAAAATTACACGGTTTACAATATATTGCCAAGAGATTGATTTATCGTAAAAGATGATTTCACTTTCATTGCAGTTCACCCTATCAATCTAGACAAGTTACGACTTCTTTCAATTTGTTTTCACTCTGTGTGGTACCAATAGTGTCATCAATATTTTCACTAATTTTTACATCTTTCATACCAGATATCATTATCTCATGCTCTGTGTCCAGATGTGAAACTGGATGACCTTGGCATTCAGACACTCCTGAATCTGTACTAATATTCAAACTTGGATCTTGACTGGTTTCAGGATATTTTGTCTCATGTTCTTGTGTCTGCATAAGTCCAACAAGCTGTTCTTTATTTGGAGACTCTAGATTCTCACCAGTAGCATCATTTGACTTTGCAAGACCACTGCCTGCCGTGGTTTGAAGGTTGTCACCACTAGACTCCCTAAGATTGTCACCAGTATTACGACTAACCTCCCTAAGACTGTCATCCACATCACCACCAAACTCCATGACAATATTACCAGCATCACCACCAGCTCCAGCAGCAGGGCTACATAATAAATGTAAGTGTTCATTAATTGTATTTCTTGACTGGCCTCTCCCCAGGTTAGAGAAAGAAGTGAAATGGATGTGAATACTGTAAAA